CTACTCTATTCTATGATCATAAGCAAGATCATAATAAATAAGATAAGCGTGATGGTGCAGCTCGCGCCCTCCGATATAGAGTTAATTTTTTCCAGTTTTTGAAATTATTTATACTGTCCATTGATTTACGCATTGTCTCCGACTTTACGCAAGTGTGCAAATTTTCAGATCGATTGGACAATTAGAAGTTGTTATATATCGATTATAAGATTTATCGCAGACAAACAACAAGAAGTGAAGTTGAAGAGAAGTGTTGTAATAATAAAAACGATAACGACCTTACGACCTTAACATCAATATTAGGTCCTAATGAACGTGTGTGAAAACTTTAATCGAGCGGCGTTCAGAAGTTTGGGGTCAGTTTTAGGTGTAATAGAGTCGTTTTCAGAATTGAGGGGGTCGCGCCCAGGTTTGGTTGCACAAAAATTTCATATTTTCGTTATATTAATTTAAAGAAAAATCTGTGGAAATTCCTCCCAAAGAGCATTTATATCAATTATTCATGTTCTGAAATTAATTCAAATCCGTTCAGAAATGAGAGATTCGTGAGTTGTTGAGTTGGTTTTTGCGTGCGAGTAAGCGTACGATGGAATGCTTGAATTCGAAGTAGTTTAGATCCAGTAAATTTCAAGATCAGTTGTCTAACCTCGAGCATTTTCCTGAATCAAAAAATATATTGAACACCAATATCGAACCGAATCGACACTTCTCCGTATTTTTAATTATATTCAAACAGTTGTTAACAGGTTAGAGATGAAATTAACTATAAAATTGCTAGAAAAATTATAAAAAATATATTAAGGTAAATATTTAAATAAAATTGTGCATACACAACCCACTGAATCGTAAAATTTTAGTGCGTTACGTTTACAGGTATATTTAATAATATCAACTGCAGGAGTATATGTTATATATACGTATTCAGCTTTTTGATCAAATCTGTCATTATTATCATTTTTTGACACTAAAATGACCATTCATTTACGGCGAGAGGTTAATAATTTTCTTCGTTCATGGCAGTCAAATCTCTAACTCAGTTTGGAATCATTCACCGAAATCGAGTGGCAACATCTGTGTGTTGTTTTCTGTTTTCGTGAAAGAAGAGTGAACGTCATGGTGAGAATTCCTGATAGTTTATATTATAAAATAAAGTGGATATACAAGTTGATTTTAAATTTCTGGTAATTAATTTAATACGTTGAAAATTTTGCCATCTATGTTGCTTATGTTATTTGAGCAAATTCCGAAGCGGCACAACTCACAAGGTCGCTCGGAAGTCGGAACGATTTGAAGTTCTTGGCAGTTTTGCAGTGTTTCGTTTGTTGAATTTTTTCTGTTTCATTACTTTCATATATGTTCCTTTTCATTACAGCCGACCAGGTTCAGCAAAACCCGTAAATTAAGAGGACACGTTAGCCACGGTCATGGCCGTATCGGTGAGTACATATAATTAAATATTAGGAGTTCGGTTGGTCTAAGACCTATCACCTAAGTAGCCTCATGAATTACATTTTTCGATGAAATCGTTCATGTTTTGTGGGGTTTGTAATTTGTATGATTGAAGGTACATGAGTTGATATATTTTCTTTTGTTGCAGATGCAGCTATTTTGAATGATTGAGTATTAATAGATGAACACATGCAAAGTAATGTAGGTATACAGAAAGTCAGAAATTTATGTCAGAATCATCCATCTAAATTCTAACCTCAAAGCCACAGTGCCACTTTAACATGAGAGCACCTGCTCAATGTCTGCTTGAAAAGACAAAAGAGATGTTAATTTTACATGCAAAAAAAAATGACAACATTGTACCTAGTGTCATCACACTCACAGCTTCATTATTATGCAATATCTGAGCCAGTGAGCCATGAAACTGGCAGTTCTGAATTCTTAATATTTTGCAGTTGTGCAAAATAACTGTTAAGTGCTCAGTGCTGTATCTGCAAGTCAGAATTTGTAAATTCATTCTCATTATTGCTGCTGCTACAAAGTGATGAATTTTGTATAGCCTAACTTGATAAACTTGCAGCTAGATCTCACACTCATAACAATTAATAATTACTATCAAGTGTCAATTACCACATAGGTTGCTACTCAGCAGCTACTGCAGTAACTGCACTTAAGTTGCCGCTTGTCTATAAAACTATATATTGCATGTCAGCAGCCAGCAGAGCTGGAAAAGTCCCATTTTTTCTGAAATATTGCAGCTCTAAAAATTTGGCGTGGAATTTTGTATAGCAAATATATTCTCATGTTAGCATGAGAAAATGTATCAAAAAACCTACCCTACCAGTAGATGTTAGTACAAAAATTAAGGGCAAGTTTATGCCTTGGTCAGATGTTAGTAGGCTTACTAGGCTACTACGTTACACCACCTTCCGGCTTCCACTGCAGTGAAAATTGATAAACTGAGCTCATTAGAAACTGCTGCGCTTCCGAAATTGAGCATGGTTTGACATCCAATCCCGTGTTGGCAACGCCTCAATCAAGTTAACTAGTCTTCTATCTGTAGAGTAGTGGACAAATTTTTGCAATGAATATGTTCTAAAATAAAAATAAAACACATCCATATTTGCAAAAAATTCTCACGATTGGACAATACCAACAAAGTTTTTTGATATCATACAAAATTATGAGATAAACTGCCACTCTTTCACTGGGTACGTTCACATCGTGCTTCTATGTTTATGTATGACAAGGCGGTGTCACACACACTTTAGTTTTAGTTGTGTCTAGTTTGATTTCACAATAAATAGATTTTATTCACATTCCATACTGAAATTTAAATGATTGAAAGTTTTTTTTTTAATTATAAAAACCCATTTATACGTTCCTGATTTGAATTTTTTCTGTTTTTCTGCCCTATTATGTTGAATTTATCTTAATAAATTCACTTCAAATTCTGAATGATTTGTCTGCCTTCAAACGTTTTGTGTCTTTTAGAAAATGTTCATTGTTTAAAATGGGAAACTATTTCATTATATAAAAGATAGAGCATGTACCATATAGTGCATTAATAATACAATTTAATTTATTTAAAATTGAATTTTGATTTAAAAAATATAATCAGATTTTTAATTCCACATTTTTTAATAGAATTTAATTCTACAGCTTCAACCAGTAAAAATGAGCATCATAGGAATGAAAGTATAACTGTCGTTCATACATCACAAATTGAATGACATCGGATGGATTTGATAGGTAGGTATTTTATTAATCCTGTTTATATATAATAACAGAAATGACGCTTCTATTTCAGAATGATAATGGAAATGTCCCTACTATTTCAGAAACTTTTCTTGGATACACTTGCAAAAACTAAAGTTCTGTAATCAATGGAGTCTTCAAAATGACAAAATCGTTCAATTTAAAATTTTTAGCTATATGAGTGAGATTGTCATTCGTCAATCATCATAGGAGCTGTAAGAAAAAATTAGTTGTTTTTTTACGCAAAAGAATATTTTTCAATTAAAAGAAATGCAATACTTGATTTTTTGGAAATACGATGCTGAAATTAATGATCCGTATTAGAATTCAATAGACGTTACGCTTTCAAAATTATTTTCAAAAAGTTTGTTTTTGTTTGATCAGAAGTTTTTGTTCGTTTGATCAGAAACAGAAGAAGTTTTTGTTTGTTTGATAAGAAACAACATAATTAATCATTCTCATGCACTAAATATACGAATGATTAGTCAGACTTGGTGACCGTCCGCATTGATCATCCCGCTAGATTATGCATGGGAGCGGGAGGTGGGAATGAAGCTAGGTATTTAATTCAGTTGCATGCTGACCCACGTGATATGTAGTTCTGCTCGTCTGAACTCTAAATTGTGTGTTTAGTGTGCATGATTGAAAACTCTGCTTTGCAGCGTAGTTATAATTAATTCATGAAGTTTAGTTCATTGCAGTCAACTTATAGACAAATTTTCAACTAACTAATACTTTTTATAAGTCTAATTTTAATTGTTGAGTGAAAGGTGCAGGCATACATACAACTTCCAAGTGATTAGGTACTTTATAGAAACTGACCGTATTGTTTTAGTTAGCGTATGTGTTTTAAGCCTTTGAGAAGTTCATTTTTTGCCTCAAATAACAATGTTGGGTTGAAAAAGTGGTCTTGGGGGATTGAAGTATTGTATGAATCTTCGAAATTAGAATTCCATCCTGGCTCTGATGTCATATAATTTCAGCAGGTATGAAATCTTGTGGCTCTAATGTCATGTATTTTGGTTTGATTGAAAAAAATGCAGTTTGCACTCTGCAAACATGTTGTTTCATAAAATTTTCAACTTCCGCAATACTTTACAATCCTGCCAAAATATCCTGCACAACATAATAATATTATCCTTAGTATTTTTTTTGGGACATGGCATTCCCAGGCCACGATGGATCGCCGCCTCTGATTATCGTTCATCCGTCCTCATTTGGGCCAACTGATGCACGATGCTGTTGCTTGCTTCTTGCCGCTGGTAGTGTTGCAGGGGAGGTCGATCTGGGATTGTGCCCAGGAACATGTCTAGTTGTCTCTTGAAGGTCTCCAGGGTGAACTCCCCCTCTCTTAGATCCCTTGGTAGGGCGTTGAACAGCCTTGGCCCTGCCACGGAAAGTGATCCTTCCCGCAGGGATTGAAATCTTACCGCGGATCTGTTACGTAGTGGGGAATCTTGCAGTCTCCCCCTTCTCTCGTTGTGATATGTCTGAATCCTGAAGGTCTCGCTCTCAAAGTTTGGCACCATACTGGTTATCATTTTCCATGTGTACAGAATGACATACCTCTCCCGTCTCCTCTGCAGTGAGTACAGACTCAGTTGCTGTAACCTCTCCCAGTAGTTAAAATTCTCCATCCCTCTGATCCTGGAAGTAAAGATTCGTTGGACTCTTTCCAGTTGCCGTATTGCGCCTAGTGTAAACGGAGTCCAGAGCTGGCAGCAGTATTCAAGGATAGGTATTACAAGGGCTCTGAAGAGTGTGATCATCGGTTCTGCTTCTCTCATTCTGAACGTCCGCCAGATCCACCCCATCTATCGTCTACCTTTTGCGGTTATTGCCAGTATGTGATCACCAAAATTGACCTGATTGTTCATCAACACTATTAGATCGTGAACGAGTTGCTTCTCTTCGATTTCTGAGTTGTCAGGTGCCAGGTAGCTGTGATCCATTCCAGCTCTTCTGGTTCCTCTGTACCTCAGGACCTCAAACTTGGTCCCGTTGAACTGCATGTTGTTTATTAGGGCCCAGTCATATATTGTAGAGGCCTTTTTGCAACCTCTCACTGTCTGTCCTGTCCTTGATGGTCATTAATATCCTGGTGTTGTCCGCAAATGACGATGCAGTGGCCAAGCACTGTTCCCTGTGGTACTCCACTCTTCAGCCTAGCCACGCTTGATCTCGTGCCTCCAACAACTACAGCTTGTAGTCTTTCTGTTAGGAAGCTGTGGATCCATGCCAGCAATTCACCTCTGACTCCCAGCAGTCGTAATTTATTAGGTCAATCTAAAACGTTTCCTTAAATATAGCATAGTTGCGGTCATGTCAGAATGGTCAGACTGCATTTTCATGTGATCATTGCCACTTGATTGGAAACGTTTGTTAGTATCAACTGTTTTTAAGGGTAAAATTAGAGATTAGGGTAACCCGTGCGCCAGGAATTGGTAAAAAGTTTGCGGCTGCATGCTCGTAAGTGGCTTTTAATGGCTAAGGTATGGAATTTATGGCTCAAAGAAATCAAATAATGGCTAGAAGAAATAGAATCACGGCTGGCAAATCCATTAAACCGCGGCTTGAAAAATTCAGTTGTGGCTTGCTAAGCAGATATATTTCATGCCTGCATGTCAGTGATTCAGTGATGTACATGATGTCAGAATCACAATTTAAAGGGTACAATTGCCTCAAGCTAACTGAGAGGCCTTTCAGATGCCACATTGCTGCTAGAATTTCAGAAGAATTGCATTTTTGCATTGAAAATTACATTGTCAGAAGTTGCAGAAAAATTATATTTTTAGCTGCAATAGGTAAAATTGCCTCTAGAAAATATTTTTTATTCTTTCAATAAATACTGCCTAACATTCCAGATTGAACTTGAAATGTTGCAATCTATTTAATTATGCTTCAAACAAATAGAACAAGGCAACAGCTGAGGACTTGATTGAAACTGCCATAAACACGGCCAATTTTGGCTAATTTTTAGCAGGATTAGAAAATTTTGACATCCTACTGAAAGGTTGCTCTATAAAATTTGGTGTGGAAAAGCCCTACTCTCTGCCATCTAGGCAGCCGAGTGTGAATATCTGAAGATTTTTTGTTGCCAATTTAGCTTGAAAATCTATATCTACAGGAAATATTATTGCCAGATTTACCCTCTATTCCCATATATTTCTTTTCAAAAAAAGTTGGTTTATGTTGTTCTAGCAACAAATCCTTGCAACCAAAATGGAATTCTAAAAATTATGGTTCATGTGTTTTTCTGTGCTGCACGTGTTGAACTGTTTGTGCAGTCTCTTGTTTCCTGAGTTCTGATTGGCACACATGAAACAAGAGACTGTGGCACAGTCTATTGTTTCATGCTTTCTGATTAGAGAACCAATCACTTGAGCTTGGTTGCCAAGCTCAGGTGCATTCAACAACTTTTTGATGTGCAGTGGCAGCGTGCAATATCTACATCACCATGCCAAAATTGTTTGTAGGGCTCATTGAGTAGATTTTGTCCACACGAAGCCATGAGTACTGATGTTGCTGTCATGAAAAGAAAATTGCAGCTGTCTGTCTTGTCTATTTAATGTCCCTTGAATCAATTTTCAAATTTGGATAATCAATTTTGAGCTGCTACCCTTTTGCCAATCTATTCTTCCTGTGTCATGTTTTTAATTTCTGTAACTAGCCTACAAAGAGATAAAAATTAACTTTACCTTAAGAGGCAATGCAGCATATGATTATGTACCGTAAAATGGGGTAACTTTGACCACTTTTTTTTTCAAAATGATGCCAATTTTTTACTAGATAAGTTAAACTTAAATTGAAACATGCAAAATACAGGTCTATACTCTAGCTTTACTCACCATAAATTGCTGGCTCCTGCCTCTCATTGTTTTGATGTAATTTAAAAAAAAGTGATATTCTTTGTTACCCCAGCTCTTGGGGTTTCTTTGACCGGGTGGTAAAATCAATTTTATTTTTTAGTAAAGTAACTCCAAATAACTCTAGGTTGTGGTGCATTGTAGTAGAACTCTTCTAGTTACATATACAAAAGACAGATTTTAGGAAAGTGTCATAGTTTGCAAATGGGGGGCCGCGGGCGCCGCCCCCAAATGAGCAAAATGTGACCACCTAATGGCAGCCGTGACGGGGTAACATAGACCGTTTTGGAAATTAAGTTAAAATTACCATATATAAGACTCTGTAGAATCTGAAACATAAAGAAAAAATCATTAATAAGTATATCAAACATAAAATAGGTTATATAGGTACCTATGGTAATTTTAACTTAATTTCCAAGCTGGTCAATGTTACCCCGTCACGGCTGCCATTAGGTGGTCAAAGTTACCCCATTGGGGGGTGGTGCCCCCCATTTACAAAATATGACACTTTTCTAAAATTTGTCTTTTGCATATATAACTAGAAGAGTTCTACTACAATGCAAAAAAAAAAAAATAACTCCATTAATAATAACTCCATCAGGATCTCCTGGAGTTATTTTACCAAAAAATAAAAAAATTGGAGGGGGTACTCCAACAGGCTTTAAATAATAGCTCTTTTTTGTGAGTCACATTTTTAATTTTTTAACCTATTAGATATGCAAACTTTTTAAATCTTTCTATTGTGTTACATAGCCTCAGTATTAGGCCTTTGATGGCCATTGACAAAATTTTCTATGTTGAATCGTTTTTGAGTTGTGGGGGTTTTTGTTAAAAAAATGAAAAGTGGTCAAAGTTGCCCCGCCGGTCAAAGTAACCCCATTTTACAGTATTCTTTATGTTAATATTTGTTAGATTTAACATTTTGTTCATTGCTGTCCAACATAATGGAATTATGAGAACATCAGCGGACAGGTTTTGGGTGTTGAATATTAGCAATAGCATGATACTGAACTGTAGAAATTAAAAATTTTTTGGAATGAAATATTCATTGCAGTTTTTGAAATCAAACAAAATACAATCCTTGAGCTACAACATTTCAGTACAAATTAGTATTTTGTAACCTCTTATGAAATTGCACAATTTCAGCAAATTTGTGTGTTAATCATGAGGCTACAAGAAATTCACATGTTTTACAAGAATTCACATGTTTCATCTTAACATGTGAAATAATATCTCTGAAATTTCAAATACACTGAGAAAGCCTAGATTTCAACAAGTGTGTTGAATCATAGAACCATGTGCTGTATATAAATGAACAAAATGGCACTATTAATAGAACCACATACTACACATGAATTCCCAAGCAGGTTTCATTTAAGATCAGAGATTTTGTTTTATTGGCAATTTTTTTATTAGATATTGTATATTATTGATATATATACACATGAAGTGTGTATATACATACCTATATTTTGTTACTTATGAATGGTTGGGATGGAGAATAACATTTCAAGAGTTTTCAATGGCGAATGAGTCATGATGACCATAGCAGGCAGTTTGTCTAAACTTCAAAAATGGAGTCTAGTGCTGTACATTTATATTTTATTTATTATGGCGTTGATGCAAGACTTATAGATCTATTCTAACCCTTGACCAATAAATCTATCCTATTCCGTTGCACTCGTACTTTAAGCCAAGTTTCAAGCACTCAACCTATCCTCTGTTTGCAGGCAAGCACAGGAAACATCCTGGTGGTCGTGGTAACGCTGGTGGTCAGCATCATCACAGAATCCACTTCGACAAATACCATCCTGGATATTTTGGCAAGGTGAGATAACATATTCTGGAACACTCATCTAGTGATGTAATGCTATAATAATCTGTTAGTATTGAGGAACTATTCTGTTAAGCATCAACGATTAATTGTACCATAACTAACTAACCATCAAACATCACCATTTTATTTTTCTTCTATCTATGTAAATAATTTTACTTACTACAACCTGTTGACAATAGAACTCAATTCAGTAGACATTCTTTAATTTCAGGAGAAATACTCATGTTTCTGCAAAAAAAGTGGATGGACAGTACAAATTTATAAGGCAAAATAGACTGGTTATGTTCGAGCTTGTTGCTGCTCAGAAGATGCATAAAAAATGATAATTATACTTTCAGCATAATTGTTACTTATTTATACATGCCAAATATTTAGACATTCCAAATTAGGCTCTTGAGACAGTGTCTCTGCGTTGCTATATTTGCCTTATTTATATTTGGGGTTGAGGTTGAGCAAATGAACTTCTTTTAACATATTTTCTGTGCTTTTTTTTTCATGACAGTAGCATGAACACGTTTTTTTTCCATCTCAAGCAGCCAAGTGTGATGGTATTTGTGTTTATTCATTTTTTTTATTTTCTAAAAAAACCAACATAAGCAAAGCCAGCTTACAACTGAATATCTGTTTAACATTAGCATCTTGTCAGTCAAATCAAGCGGAATGTTTGTCTCGTCATCTTAGAAGCGCTTGCCTTGATTTGGTTTCTATCAGACGCCACTATGATTTAAAATATGCAAAACACACAGTATAATTATTACTTTCCTTCTTGTCGGTATACAAAACAAGAACCATTGCTCTACTTTCCTTAATCTTCGAAAAACTCTGACCCTCACTCCTGCAGGCCAGTATGAGGAACTACCACCAGAAGCCACCTTTTGCACTTAACACTTTTCTAAAGACTCCTTACCACCCCCTAACACTCATCTACCCCTCAGGTCGGTATAAGGAACTATCACCAGAAGTCACCTGATATGCTTTACACCTCCCTAACACTCGTCTACCCCTCAGGTCGGTATGAGAATACCAGAAGTCACCTGATATGCTTTACACCACCCTAACACTCGTCTACCCCTCAGGTCGGTATGAGAAACTATCACCAGAAGCCACCTGATATGCTTTACACATCCCTAACACTCGTCTACCCCTCATCACCTTTTGCACTTAAAACTTTTCTAAAAACTCCTTACCACACCTAACACTCGTCTACCCCTCAGGTCGGTATGAGGAACTATCACCAGAAGTCGAGCCATGTCTACATGCCCACCATCAACGTCGACAAGATCTGGGCGCTCGTGAGCGAGGACGTGAGGAAGAAGTACAAGGCGAGCTTCGACAAGGCCGAGACTGACGAGGCAAAGGCCAAGGTCAAGGCCCCCGTCTTCAACCTTAATAAGGCAGTGAGTTGAAATTTGTCTCCTAGTGTCATCTGCATCTTTACTGTACGCAGGTTCTTCATAGGCATGTCGGTAAACATGTGTGCCAACATGCTTGTTCACATACACATAGGCATGTCGGGTAAACATGTTTGCCAACACGCTTGTTCTTCATAGGCATGTCGGTAAACATGTGTGCCGACACGCTTGTTCACATAAGCATGTCGGTAAACATGTATGCTAACACGCTTCGGTAAACATGTGGTGTGCCAACACGCTTGTTCACACATGCATGTCGGTGAACATGTATGCCAACACGCTTGTTCACATAGGCATGTCGGTAAACATGTATGCCAACACGCTTGTTCACATAGGCATGTCGGTAAACATGTATGCCAACACGCTTGTTCACATAGACATGTCCGGTAAACATGTGTGCCAACAAGCTTGTTCTTCATAGACATGTCGGTAATCATGTATGCCAACACGTTTGTTCACATAGGCATGTCAGTGGTAGACATATTTTCCAGTAATGATTTTAACTAACGAGAACCTCAGGAAGAATGACTGTGTTTGAGCGACCGTATTCTTCATGTTGATCATGTCGTGTTTCATTGCATGAGGTTTATGTCACTAGTTGAACAATTCACCGCCATGATTTTACGATATTTTATGTCGAGATTTATTGGTCGTCAAGCCACCGTAGGCAGTTCAATTTTGATGAAATTTCAGCGAAAATAATACCGTGTGTTGATGAACTTATCGAGAATGTTTTTTGTTGTCATATAATGCATTTTTTGTTCAAAAGTAACTAATCCACCACTATCCAATGTAACTAATACACTGACCGATAAATGCAAATAAGCTTATACTGTCGCAATTCCAAGTCAAGTTGACTGCAGCAATTCTTACCAGCACCAAGTCTTTCCTTGACTTGGTAATGCTTTCAATTCACACTCGGTATACATATTGAAAAAGCGCTCCTCTAATATTGAAGGATTCTCAGTTTTGTGGCAAATTTTTATTGTTTAATAATCACCCATCACGGCCCGTAACTAGCGATCTATATTTTTTAGTAAAACTGTATGAATTGTCACCAATAACTTTTTTCGTGTGCAGCTGCTGACGCATTAAAAAATATTATAATTAACCGATATGGATTCCGACTAGTACTTCTTTCTTTCTCTACTCCAGTGGAAGATAATAGTTTGGCGCACAGTATCAGTATTATAGTGCTAAATTTCTAACTGTAGTTATGTATCGATGTTATTAATGCATTGCCGTCCGGCAGGGCTTCTACAAGGTGCTGGGCAAGGGCAGATTACCGAAGCAGCCTATCATTGTCAAGGCAAAGTATTTCTCCTTGAAGGCTGAGAAGAAAATCAAGGCGGCCGGCGGCATGTGCGTCTTGACAGCATAAGTAAAGTCGGCCTCCCGTGTCCTGCGTGTTTCATTCACCTAGTCCGTCTCGTCATCCGTTGCTAGATGAATGATGTTAGTCCCGTAATGATACTTGTACTAATTAATACTAGCCACGATGCTATGTGATACCTGCGGTAGTTACCTTATTGTTCCTACTGCTCGGTTATACGAGCACCTTTTTGTATAGGCATTAAATAGATGAGATTAGTTGCTGTAACAACCTGATAACGATATCATTACTCCTCTTTACAATAGCAGGCTAAATATTGCAGTCAATTTATTATTTATGACCTAAATAGCGCAGCATCAATTATGCTTTTTTATCCCCCATTTGGAGTTCTGTGTCTTACCAAATTCCTCTTAGAAAAATTTATAACTTGTAAGATATGGAGCCCAAAGTTGTTTGCGATCTATTTCAATGTAAATCACGGGTATAAATAACTGTTTGGTGTGACGGGAACCCCTGGAAAATTTGGGTGAACTGTAGACTCGATTCTCAACTTCCGAGGGAGGCTGCGGCGCGGGTGAAAAGATCGAGAGAGCAACGATGGTAGTCGTGGTTTTGATAGTTTTTTTATTCGAAATTGGTTCCTTGGATCCTAAAAAAAATGGTGATCGATATTTCCGAAACAATTGCAGGCATAATTTAAATCGAAGTAACTGTTCCATCATTATTATTATCTGCTTCAAAAGTAATTCAACTCTCAAGTCTTCTATCCGAAGATTTCTGCTAAAATGTAATAAAAATATCAATCAAACTGACTATTTTTACAATTGAACCAACGACATTGGTAAGCAACAATTTCTGGGACTTCCCTTTTGTTTCAGATGACCAATTTCCGTTGTCCGCAAATGCCTATCTTTGATTACTAACGGAGTTTTGTTCGTATGAAATTTTTGTGTTTCTTCTGATTAAATTGCCTCTGATTGCCGCAACTTCAGGTAATTTTTAGTTGTGCTCTGAGGAATCCAGCTACGTTCAAGAAACGAATATTCCAGTGTTCACTAATTGCACCAAACCCGACGTGAACGCCGTCTCCTACGTGCGAAATAATAGCTACCCCGGCGACACAAGACCCTCCTTCGCACATTTATTCAATATCGGGATCTGTTCAACCATTTCAGGACGAATGGCTGAAGTAAAATCATTTCAATGTTAGTATCAGCGTTAGTTCACCCATAGTAGGATTAATATTCCGACTCAGGCCCAGTGGTTAAAGTTTCAGGATTGGAGCTGAGAGGCGCGGGTTCGATCCCAGCTCTGTGCGCCAGTTTCTGGTCAGAATCGGCAAGGAGGCCGGGCGGTTAAGACAGCAGAATCATAGCAGTGAGTTGCGAGTGCGAGACCGCAAAGTGATGTGAATTTTCTGCGATGTAAAGAATCGGCGACAGGCATACGGCCTACTAAACGCTGAAGCCGTTAACTGCTACTCGAATAATTCAGGCCTGTAAGATTGTATACTTCTAGCAGTCAAAAGACTAACGCATTCACCCATATAGTAGTGATGAAAAATCTGATCCACACAAAAACGTTTTTTTTTTTCAATTTTCAAAGAACCATATGTACTTTTTTTATTGTGAGTGCAAGGTTATGTCGAGTCTCGAACGGTGACAGTAAATGTAACCATTCATTGTAAATGAAGATTGTGAAAGAACAAAGTGATAAGATCAAGCAATTAGTCATTCTTGACTGCATGCAAAGAACATGAACTAAAGTCAAACTTGAATTTATAAGTCATATATGCAAAACGAATGGCAGTGGCTAGGGCATCACATGATCACAAGCCGGATATCAGTTCAATTAACACCAAATCTCAGAATAATCATGTATTTAGTGAACTTATAAAGTGACTTTTTTGTGACATCATAATGACAAAGAATCGTGATTGGCGAAAAATGCTAACACCGGATTCTTTTTCAGGAAAATCTGCAGTTATAAGCCGGGTTGTCTCAATGTTCTCACTTTCCTTCGCAGCGTTGCCAGATGGTATATTTCTATACCAGATTTCACAAATCTGGTATTTTCAGAAGGCGTCTGGTATGAACATTTTAGATCTGGGATATTTGCCTAAATCTGGTATTTTTCTGGTATTTTCTGACTTACTAGAAAATTTACTGCATTAAGTTCCACCTCTGAAGTTTGAATTTCCTCCAACGTAGGCGTGGATTATATAGATTACCATCAGAGTGGCGCGACTAACCCGAAATGTTAGAAAGTTAGATTAATGCAATATGCAAGCATGTACGAAAATAAGCAAAATGAAGATGACCTGTTTCCGTGGCTTGCTCATGTTGAGCGAAGAGGAAAAAGTGCCACAATGACACTGATAAAAAAAGGAAAAAGTGTCAATGTAATCAAGCACAGGAAAAGAAAAGTGTCAAAATGTTCCAGAGGGGAAAAAATATAACGTGTTCAATTTGGCTAATTATCGTCAAGCCAGATAACTGCACAGTACACAAGATAATTTTTTTTCTAACCAACGTTTCTGACGAATAGTTTTATTAAATTTGGAGGTATTAATCTGTTTTTTGAACGATAAAATTTCTGGTATATTTCTGGTATTTTGATCTAGGCAATCTGGTATTCTCGCCAAGAAAAAACCTGGCAACACTGTTCCTTCGTCCGCTACCTCAGTGTGACTATAGCAGTGGACGTGTAAGGTTATCAGTGTTGTTCTCGTGACTATCGATCGCGCCTGGATATGAGCGCTAGCATATGGTGAAGACTCGCCACTCCGAACCTGCACTGGGAGCCATGCTCAAGGCATCATGGCTTTCCGTGTACCTAATTGCTTCTCTGGGATTTGCTTGCGCCATGGCAAGCCCACGAAACAAAATTTCAGGTGAGAGAATCACGAACTGATAAGCAACAGTATTCGTTAGTTCGTACCAAACGCCGAGTTACAAGTGTCAACTTTGTTCCAGTTTAAACAGCCATTTTTAAATATTGTTTGGTCAGCAGTTGTTGCACCGATTATGCGGCTTGTTTACAATTGTTAATCAAAGCGCAAATAAGAAGACAATTTGCATTTTCCTCATGGCTTTAGTGATTAGGAAACTTAGCAGCAAACAACGTGACGTTGTAAACAAATGACGACGTGTGCCTCGCTCACACCTGTGAGCGAATGACGTCACGCTACCCTGCATTTCAATGTCATCAACCATGCCTCTACCAAGGTTAAATGAACAATGAATTTCCGAGGAACTTATATCATGTAGCAATTACAAATCTGTCTAAATCGGTTGAAAACGTGGTCGACAGTTAAAATAATCATAATAAATATGATAAAACTACTGTAGTCTATAGGAGCCACCCTTGGACAAACCACACTTGCCCGTGGTTTTGTGCAATGTTTTTAGCGCATTTTCTCATTTATGGAAAAATGCACTATTGTACTCGCCATATCAGTCTGTCTGTCCGTCTGTCCGTCAGTGACTTTACGTTCTCATCGACGAGAAAATGCGCTCTGTCACTCACTGCAGTGAGTACTGAGGTATATTTTTTAACCATCGGCAGCGTTCTTTTCATGATTTCATAATTGAATTTTACGCCAATGCCACGTAAGTTGCCACTACACTCGTGTCACCGACTTTCTTATACCATGATTTATTTTTTAAACAAAACCGAACGACATCTTTCTAGCGCGACCGAAACTGTTTCGAACAAATCAATCGTATTTTTGACAATTTCGTACTGTACTTTTTTATTTCGGAGCCGTGAGTGGCGATTCGTGTATCACTTACGACAGTTTTCATTTGGCGAGTGTTCCGTTCAATTTATCTCGATAATTTTATTATTATGAACACAACAAGCTATGTTGTACTCGTTGCACTGCAGTGTTCGGTACACTGTCTAGTGCAATGATCACTAAACTGTTCACAGTGGTTCTCATCAAATTCTTCTACGCTGTTCCCTTGTAGAACACACAATGAGCGTGATGCCGATGATGGTGGTCAGTAACCGTTCACGTGGACTGGACAGTGGCAGCAGTTCAGTTGTTTTGCCAATTGTGACTGCCGACTGGCGGCCATTTGTGGCAGATATGACTTCTTTTGACTGGCGGCCATTTGTGACAGATATGACTTCTTTTGACTGGCGGCCATTTGTGACAGATATGACTTCTTTTGACTGGCGGCCATTTGTGACTGGTCGCCAAAATAATTAAGAAATAAGAATATTCTAAAGAAATAAGTTGGCATAAGCGCATGGCATGAGATACCTAATAAATAGATACGAGGCGGTGGAATGCTATTGTTACAGTGCGTCGTGGTGGTTAATTTTTTTGTTTTAATTTTAGTTTGTTGAGTTAATTTCATCTAATTTGTGATGAAGTAATCACTTTATCCGGCTGGTGGATGACAGTGTAGGTATTAGAGTCGTGCATCAAAAGTCTTCATCGGATGTGTCTCCTGGGAATCTGTCACTCTAGCATCCTGTATGAAATCTGTGTATATCTTGTGTTTATTGTGTGTCTGTTTGAACTTCGCTGAATGTACATATATCTTTTTTATACGCTTCGTGGTTGTTAGTTTGATGGTAGAATAGATTTTTGTGGAAGCCATGATTGCGACCGTGAAGGTTACGCTGAAATAAGGACCGAAAATACAACGTTTTTGACAATATTTTTTTAATGATATGAAGATTTAGAATGGATATACTTAATTTTACGGAGAGATCTGAGCATTTTTCGAAGAGGAAATTTTACACATGAAAAATATTACAAAACTGCCGCTCAGCAGCCGTTTTTTTAAACGGTTTTAATACTTATTTTGTGCCTCAAAATAAAATTATTAAAACATTGAAAATCATGTTAATATTATGCTATTAACTGTGCTATTGGTACGCTGTCAATATTAAATGAAAAAGAAAAAATCGCACGCCAATCTGTGAAAACATGGTCCTGTAAAAATCGAGTCCAACGATTTAAATCACAATCTTCCAACAAAGCAAAACACACAAAAAAAGTTATTTTCCTCTAATCGTTGATAACCTCGTAATAGATCTGACATTAAGAATGTAAAACTCCAAGAAAAAACTCAAATGGTCATAAGTTGATCTCCAACACTTATACATTCTTCTTCAAACAGCAAAAAATGAAGTTAAAAACAGCAATGCCACTTGTTTCGTTGCTGTTCTTCCGTTGCTATTCTGCCTAAACCTTCCTTGACGGTTCTAAAAAACTTACAATTTAGTTCTGTAGAACTAACACGCAGCATATACATACTAACACGCAGGATACATACCAACACGNTTCCGGCGTAATCGTTCCTGTTTGTCGCAGTTACTGGAGCACCATCACCGTCTGGTGGCCCAGCTGGAGGAGAGAGCTGGCGTGGACGTGGTATACCTAGACTTTGCTAAAGCTTTTGACAAAGTTGACCATGGGGTGCTCTTTAGAAAGCTGAGGCTGTTGGGGGGTAGGAGGAAGCCTGTTAAGATGGATACACAACTTCCGTACAGATAGAGTACAAGCTGTCGCAATTGGAAACACGAAATCGAGAGAAGCGAAGGTGAAAAGCGGAGTTCCGCAGCGCTCAGTGCTTGGACCGATCCTCTTCCTCATCCACATTGCTGATATTGACTTAGAACTCACCCACGCATCTACATCGTCATTTGCGGACGATACAAGAGTGCTGATGAAGATCACAGATGACATAGACTGCGAGAGGTTACAGGATGACTCGTTGACAATCTACGATTGGGCCCTGGTGAACAATATATGCAGTTCAACTGCACCAAGTTCGAAGTAATGAGATACAGAGTCCGCACAGAGATCGGGATGCCCCATCTCTACTTGGCATCAGGTGGCACAGATATTGAGGAGAAGCAACTAGTTCTAGGTCTCGGAGTGTTGACGAGAACCGAAGCCACGTTAGACCAAGGGCCACGGCTATAATCTAAAAAATTGCGCTGCAACTTCTCTACGCGACAAAATTTCTTCTCGCTTCGAATCACCGACATGTGGAACAGCCTCCCCGATAATATCGTTGGCGCTCCAAGTATGAACGCGTTCAAGAACAGACTAGATAAAGCTATGGAAAATATATGTTCAGATTTGAAATGCCTAGCACCATATCGAACCAGTTGGAAGTCTAGTAGCTACTTCAAACTATCGTCAGTCATGGAAAGATCCGGTCAAATGACACGATTTTAGATCTTCTGTGAACAAGGCACGAAAAGGAAAAGAATCGGCGACAGGCCACATCAGGCCTACACTTCAGCGCCGAGATCAATATGTTATGTTGTGTTATGTTAGATGCCCACATCGAGGAAATAGTCGCGCGCAGCCAGCAACGGATAGGGTGGATATGGCTTACATTTCGAACGAGAGAAGCAGTACCAATGATTACACTCTTCAGAGCCCTCGTCTCCCCAATCTTGAGTATTGCTGCCAACCTTGGGCAACACCAAGACGGGTGCGGTGCAGAAACTGGAAGCAGTGCTGCGGACCTTCACGTACAGAATCAGCGGCAGGGAGCTGGGCCTGAACTCCTGAGAAAGGCCGAAACACCTGGGACTGTACTCACTGGAGAGGAGAAGAGAAAGGTATATCATACTGTACACTTGGAAGATGATATCAGGACTGGTTCCCAAACGGTCATGGCTCAGCTATACCCATGCGTGTTGTGCGTATATATGTCGTGTACAGTTCGTTAAGTACTGTACGCAACTGTACATTTGTAAGCGCACAATTATCGGCTTAATTCGGGCATACACCTGCGTGTGGCAACAGCTGTATGCGTACAGCTGTAGCCACAGCTACTGCAATCAACCATTTCATCTGCCTGACCTGCTGGATGGGTATACCAGCCGGTAAAATACGTTAGGTTTTCCTGTAAGTCATACATGGATACAAGGTGTAATATATACATATAATACGTTTACATTTACAGTAATTTACATGTCATTGGCCCCCTCCTATAAATTTATACAATAAAAGCAATTCAATGTGTGATGTCTGCCTAAAATCTATATATTCATTCAAAGCTGTATGCTCCCAATCTTGTGTCATAGCTCGTGCTTTCTTTGTGTGAATGTGTTTGTGAGATGTGTGAAAAAAGGGCAAGGATTTTATAGAACATAATGACAATGATTCGATTAAAATAATAGCAAAAATGTTAGTGAAATAAGGTAGAAATGTTAGTGAAAAAACAGCGAAAATTTTGCTGCAATTATGGCAAGAACTTGTCTGAAATAGCGGCAAGAACTTGTATTATAAATTTCAATAGCATTCAACAGTTATTATTCCACTCTACTGATGTATGCACCGCCCATGCACGATAGGAAACACGCCGTTTGGCCGGATGTGCTGACATATACATAGCCTTATCGCGCGGGAGTTGGGTGGAGATAACGGGACCGTTGGGAGCTATCTGCTGCCCATATCTTCGTTCCAACACTTTTTCAAAATAAAATTTCGAAAACTTGAAAACTTCAATTATGGTTTGAAGAGCAGAAATTTAGTTGAGATTACACTTCACTTCTATTTTGTACACACCACTGTTCATTCGTTGAGATTGCACTCCACTTATTTTATTTCCTTTACACTACTGTTCATTCGAAGTTATTATTCATCATAATGCATATCGTATGTATAGTTGCATTCTCGACCTTTTCGTCCACGGCCGTGCTGATGTGCCACCTTCGTCTCCTGCCGTCTTTGAGTCGTTTGGAGGGCCGCGTCCTCTAACGGTGCCCCTGGGGGCAGTAGAAGATAAATAATGTGCATCCGCCCTCAGTTGGGCCAGCTAGTGCCTTCAGTTGGGCCAGCTAGTGCCATCAGTTGGGCCAGCTAGTGCCATCAGATGCCGTTACTTGCTTCCTGCTGATGGCTGTGCGGCATCAGGTCAGCGGATCTTGCAGCCCAATGCGTCAGTGATCGCCATCAGCGCTCTCGTGCGTCGCCTTGCAAATGACGATACATGCGCATGGCTCAGTTCCATGTCTATGTCGACGATTGTGAGTTTCGGTCAAGGAAGGATAAGTCCAAGAATCTAACAAATTCTGTGTACTCCGGCCCTCACCATCGCCTGTCTGGTATGAGCCTGCAAGCGTGATGGCTTGTATCTTGTTTTTCAGATAGTTGGGGATCCACGCCAACAACTCTCCTCCGACCCCCAGCAACTTTCTGAAGAGAATTCTACTTTCTGAAGAGAATTCTACGGTTGACGGGTTGAGGCTATTGAAGGCTGCAGATAGATGCAAATTTTCGTCGTCCATGCCATGCCTCCTCTTGGAGAACTTCAATTTCATTCTCTTGTGTAGAGGAGCGGATTTTACTGAACACTGACTCAAACATCGTTCCCAGAAACTAGCACATGTCATCTCCAACGAGGGCATCCGGGGCTTCGTTAAATAACGTAACTTTTTGCTTTGAGTGTCTATTTTACTCGAATAAGTTGTTCAGTTAGGCTAGAACTGTCATGTTTGGTGACGATAAATCACCTTCGTTTCTTTAACTAGATTTGATTATATAAATCACTGTTGTTACATAAATCGTATACTGTGAGATAGATAATTTACTTATATTAGATAAGCATTGCATCACATGTGACGCGATGCTCTCTGCTGCTCAGGACTCGCATATCGAGTTCGGGGTCGGACCCAACGACCCCCGATACTTCGCGGGCCGCGGGGACACCGGCGGACCCCATCTGCAACCCTACAATTTGCAGGAGCGATCCAGGAGCTCCTTGAAGGGGTTCCCACAGGACCCCGATTCCCAGTTTGGACTCCAGAACCCCCGGTTGGAGCACGATGATCCCCAGCGTAAGCGACAAGACCTCAACTTTTTGCTCCAGGATCTCCAGTCTGAACGCGAAGATCCCCGGATCTTGCGCCAAGATTCCCAGTTTGGAGTCAACTATCCCCAGTTTGGGGTCCAAGATCCCCAATTTGGGGTCCAAGATCGTCAATTTGGGGTCCAAGATCCCCAATTTGGGGTTCAAGATTCCCAATTTGGGGTCCAAGATCCTCAATTTGGAGTACAAGATCCCCAATTTGGGGTACAAGATCCCCATTTTGGGGTACAAGATCCTCAATTTGGGGTCCAGAATCCCCATTTCGGGCGCGGTGGACCGCGGATCCCAAGTCAGGATCAGCAGCTGGTCTCGAGAATGCTGGATCTTTACGACGACGATCGCGCAGATCTCAACGATCAGCTGGCGCTCGCCGATCTTCTGGCGGGCCTCGGGCAGGACCGGCCCGATGATCGGTCTGCAGCGTTCATGCAGCGCCTGCGGGCCGTCTTGCGGGCCGGAGACCGGGAGACGGCCCGCCGCATGCTGGGCGGACCCGCAGGTAAGCGGCCATTTTATTTGATTAATCTTAATATTAATAAATTATTGAATTATTATTCACCTAATTATTGATGAGAAATGTTTTGATAAGAAATTGTGTTTCAAGGTCACGTGGTAGTGCAGCTCAGCTGCAGTTCAAGGTCACGTGGTAGTGCAGCTCAGCTGCAGTTCAAGGTCACGTGGTAGCGTAGCTCAGCTGCAGTTCAAGGTCACGTGGTAGCGTAGCGCAGCTGCAGTTCAAGGTCACGTGGTGGTGTAGCGCAGCTGTAGTTCAAGGTCACGTGGTAGCGTAGCGCAGCTGCAGTTCAAGGTCACGTGGTGGTGTAGCGCAGCTGCAGTTCAAGGTCACGTGGTGGTGTAGCGCAGCTGTAGTTCAAGGTCACGTGGTAGCGTAGCTCAGCGGTCACGCTGAATTAGTTTTAAATCGATTAAAATCTTCCATGTTATATTATTTTTACTTAGAAAGTAATGAGGTAATTGTAAAAAAAATAGAAAATGAATTTAAATACAAATCTTTGCCTGTCCAGGGCCAGCCACCGCTACCAGTCCAGCTCGAGCCTCTACTCTGATGGCCAGAGCTCCTCCTCCCCCTCCTCCCCAGCGCCCTCCCCCTCCCCCACACACATCCCTCCCTCCACCATCACCATGTCATCACTACGCACCACATCACGCATCACATACACATCATCAGCATCATTCCAGTCATCATTCACGCCTCTCACCAAGCGATGGAACTCCACGCAAGACTTCACCGGGACCGTCCCGTGCCCGGTCCCGGGGCACAACGGGACCCTCGGCACCCCTGCCGGCACCCCCACTCCCACCCCCACAACCCCCAGCACCAACCTCGCCAGGTGAGTGCNTTCGATTTGCCAGTTCAAACTAAAAATATTGTTCGATATATTGAAAAAACTAATAAGAAAATTGCGAATAAAACAAATTCTCTGGTCTTCAATGAAACCTGCTTGAAAGAAGAAATTCTGCCAACCTATACTAATTAATGATAAGTAAAATAATTTAATTTAATTTTAATTGTCTGATCCTCCGCTGGATTGTAATTGCTTTTCGGCATGCATTATTTACAGGATTTCCACTACATTTATAGTTAATAAGGTAGGCCCACTAAACACAGCCCCGGGCCCCACTAAAGGCCTCTAATAGTTAATAAGGAAGGCCCACTAAACACAGCCCCGGGCCCCACTGAAGGCCTCTAATAGTTAATGAGGTGGGCCCACTAAACACAGCCCCGGGCCCCACTGAAGGCCTCTAATAGTTAATAAGGTAGGCCCACTAAACAGCCCCGGGCCCCACTGAAGGCCTCTTAGTTAATAAGGTAGGCCCACTAAACACAGCCCGGGCCCCACTGAAGGCCTGTAATAGTTAATAAGGTTGGCCTACTAAACACAGCCCCAGGCCCCACTGAAGGCCTCTAATAGTTAATGAGTTAGGCTCACTAAACACAGCCCCAGGCCCCACTGAAGGCCTCTAATAGTTAATAAGGTAGGCCCACTAAACACAGCCCCGGGCCCCACTGAAGGCCTCTAATAGTTAATAAGGTAGGCCCACTAAACACAGCCCCAGGCCCCACTGAAGGCCTCTAATAGTTAATAAGGTAGGCCCACTAAACACAGCCCCAGGCCCCACTGAAGGCCTCTAATAGTTAATAAGGTAGGCCCACTAAACAC